ACATGGAGGTGGTCTGAGCTGGTAACCTATCCTTACCTTCCCCGTTTAAGATTTGGTTGGTTGAGAATAATATACGAACTCTGGCTGCTGGGAAGGTTCGTGAAACGGCTTGGTTGAGGCATGCACTAAACCGCGCTCTGATTGGCACCCGCTTGTAAGAAACTACGAACATAATCCATCGCTTGTTTAACTTTATACCTCCCCTATAAATGTATTGGCCTGAGGAGAATTTATCGAAAGTGTACACTCGCCAAATACTATTCTGAGTGCTCCATAATACACTCTTATTAATTTCTTATTGGCTCCGTGACATAAATGTCTTGACATCGAGTTCGGCTCTTTAGTATTCCAGCTCAGTTCTCAAAACTGACAGCAAATGAGCACTAACACATGCACTGAAATTTTGACACCTCATTTAGAGCTTGGAGTTGTTTACTCTGAGTGCACATCTGGTTTGCGAAGCTACATTGCTGCCTGAATACATTCAAACACTAATCGCAACCCCTCCCCCCTCCACAGGATGACAGGGTCTTTCGAGTCTCCTAGGCTATCGTGTATTTGATCTCTTCCTGTCAAAATGAGAATTCTGAAAGTCTGGGCAACTCGCGAGGCTCCAGGCAACAACTTTATGGAATGTAATATATCTTGCAACGTCTTGGCTGCCGTTACTGTCAAGCAGTCTATATCTACATTATGTAGTGCTGATAAGCCAAATGCAGGCAGATATGCGGCGGTGCATCGTGCCAACGCTCGGAAGTACATCTCCTCCGCTAACTGTACTTAAGCCAGAAAGACTTTGTGTGCCACCACGTATTGCGACTAAATAGCTTCCTTCATCTAATGACTTTCACAAAACTTGTTTGGCATGTGTTGTATGCTTTTCTTATCGAACTGGGAAGCTTCATCTTCATGAATAGTCCATAAATGGGTATGTGAGGAATATTTGAAAGAAACACCCTTTAAAAAAAATTTGAAGCCTATAGCTATGGGATGGCTATGAAGGCAATAATGATAAACTGTTCCTGGTTTTCGGAGTCCTGTGGCAATAGCCTCTAGCAAGTACGACCATTTTGATTGATTCGGAATAGCCTGGTTCGGCTCCGGAGAACCACTTTTACATGCGCGTTTGCAATCCGTCAACGACGCTTTGCGCTGAAAATGCAGTATTCAGGTGCACGTGAGCAGCGTTAATGGACTGTTTTGCTCCTAGGATGAAATAGCCAGTAGTCCGTTATACCTTGAAATTTCTGGCAAGAACCCTAGCGGGCGATCACGCAACTGTCACCGATAAAAATAGATAAACTTGGAATGTTCCTGGGGTTTGTCCGGCTAAGGACATCAAATAGATTAGGAATGGTCTATTGCCTTCTCTTTCATCTTTGGCGGTAGCATTTCTCGACGAGTATCTGCCTTCGCGCAACTAATTCGGCTTTGGTAAAAACTCCCTCTCTATACATTAATTCTGTACAAAAAACCGAGCCTGTACAGCACCAGCAGAACTCTACTTAACTGTCCTGGAGAGAGTTTGCCTTATACAAAAATAGAATCACAATGAACCCGTAGCTGCTACTGCTCTCTGGTTATAGCTC